CATGAAAAAAATCCAATTGTTTTTTCAAAAGTATGGGTTATAAGGTATGGTTAGTAACAGAATACACACATCCATGACTCATGGTTTGGGAACACCATTCTTGGTCTTTGCCCATGTTGCCATTATGTGAAATATAATTACTAATGGGAACTCTTGGTTTGGAAACACCATTAATCTTGGTGTATCCCAGGTTGCCAGTATTGTTCTGGGTTGAAACTCTTTGTTTGGAAACACCATTAATCTTGGTGTATCCCAGGTTGCCGGTATTGTTCTAGGTTGAAATTTCTAATCTTACAGTGATGCAATACTACTACACTTGTTATATGTGTATATTGTTTTATATGCTGACTGATTATCCCTTTGCTTTGTTTCTTTTCTCTTTTCTATTTTTCTTTTCTATATTGAACAAGGAACACAAATTGTGATGATAACATCAATGCAAACTTAGCTAAAGATATGACACAATAAAGGAAAAAGATCCACATAGGTGATATCTGTTAGTTGGGAATAGAACTTAAGCCTCATTTGTTTGCATTTAATGGAAGTCTGAATATGAATGGTTCAGACCTTTAAATGCGTTTGTTTATTTTAAGATTTAAGCCCTTATTTGGTCTGAATAGGTCTCAATCACTAAGATTTTGAATAAAAGTTTTTATATCATTACGATGTATTTTTTGTGGATAACTTTCACCATTACTTTGTCTACTAGACTACTACCACCCGCTACCACCATTACCACATCTGCCATTAAAACCACCATGATGTCGCCAACCACCAACTACCTCTTCCATCACAACCATCACTAACAACCACAACGCTGCCACCAACTAATGTCAGCCACTACCATACCTACCACTTCCATTATTAAATTAATCCACTGTCATCATCACTGCCACTAGTCATTTCTGTCGTCGCCACTATCAGTAACTACCACCACTACTGTGAGCAATCTGTACTACCAACTACATCCACCATCATAACTAGCACCATCACCAATTACCACTAGCACTATTGTCAACAACCACACATTCTTAAGCCACCACCACCACCGCCAACTACTAACATCATATAACCACAACCACCAACACCACTGCCACCACCAACTAGCTCTGCTATCACAATCACCACTAGGAAGCACCACTAATAACCACTACTTTTCGGTCGCGACCACACGTACCACCTCATCATTATAATTATATCCATTGTCTCTGCCACCACTATCAACTACTACACCTACCGTGGTCAATTCCTACTATAAACCATCACAATTAGAACCACTACTAGCTACCACCAATACCATTATCAGCCACAACCACCAACACTGCAAACTACTAACATCAACCAATTTCACCACCACCACTGATATCAACCACTATTGTCAGTCACTATCACATCTGCCAAATACATCATTATAATTACATTCATAGTCATCACCGTCACCGTCACCGTCGCCTCCACCTCCACCACCATTATGAACCACTATCACCGCTTTAGGTAATTCCTACTACCAACCACCTCCACAATCACAACTAGCATCAGTGCCAACTACCACCAACACACCACCCCTCAATTTTCAGCCGCCACCACCGCCACCGCCACCGCTAACTACTAACATCGACAAATTCCACCATCACAACAACCACCACCACTACCAACCGCCACCATCGTACTAGCCACTAGAACACCAATCACCTCTACCATCACAACTATCACCAACCATCACTACCACATGCCACTACAAACCATCTCCACCATTACTAGCGAACATAAATGTTTTTTTATCAAACAATAATTTTTGTTGTATTAAATTTATGTATTTATTCTTATATTGTATTTATTTTATATTTGAATTGTATATTTATTATGTTTACAAACAAATAAATTATGCACATTCATATTTTGAGTATTAATCATTGAGTGTTCAAATCTAAGGACAACATCTTAATCATACATGTATACATTTAGATTTAAACGTCTTAATTTTAATGAAAACAAATGAGCTTTAGTCTTGTTAGAGGACTTTTGTTATTATTACATACAGTGGCGGACCCAGAAATTTTACGAAGTGGGCTCAACATACAAAAAAAAAATGAAGCAGTATCAAATGTTGTGGGTGGCAATCGTACCCGCGATGCATCAATCAAATTGTAACCACTCTGCCGCTGGGTTACGTGTTACTATTGGTTTAAGTGGGGTCAAATTAATTATATACATTGTTTTATTTAAAAAAACAGATTGAATATATATGTATATACAATGTATTTTTTCGACGAAGTGGGTTCATATGAACTCACTTGCAACAAGGTAGGTCCGCCCCTGATTACATTTATTTATAATATTTAACTTATTTTGCACTTCTATTTTTGTTCGGTGTCATGATGACATGAGAGGAGCTTAAATGGAATAATGAGTATTCATATAACTGACTCTAACTTGTTTGAGATTGAGACTTAGTTGAACAATGAACACAATTGTCAATTTCTCGAGGAGGGAAGATCATTGATTTCTTCAGGTTTACTTATTTTTATCACTTAGGACTCTAACCATGATTGACCTTACTGGAATGCTGGCTACCTGGGATCATGTTGCTAGTGTAAATATGCCTAGGCTTCCAAATGTCGATGTTTAAGTGGAAGTGCATCGATCTCTTTTGTTGCTTGTTGACATAGGATTGTAGAAGCTAAGCTGAATGAAGGAGTTTCTTAACTCAAATCCCATCTCTCTTCTTTGTATCTATTGTGAACATTTTAATAAAATTCACCTTATCATATGTTTTGTGAAACTCATCAGTAATTCTGTGGAACTAATTAACTAGCCATATTTGCATCAAGTTCATTGCGCTTCAGAGTCTCACTGCCTTTTATATGGTTTAGACTTTAGCAGTTTCCTGAATTTGTAGAGTTCAAGGTTATATTTGTGATTATCAAAGTGATTGTTTGCTCCTCTCTTTAATAAAAGGGTCAAGGTTCTTCAACTGCCCGAGTTAGCAAAGGCAAAAAGCAAAAAAGCCCTGAAGTCAGTTGGGGTGTCAAGCGTAAGCGTAAGTAAACCTCCCAGGTTTAATGAACAAATGTGGAAGAGATTTTTACTCACTGTGATATTCAGGTGTTAATTTATTTATCATTTAGTCTGTTTTTGCCTTCCTTACCCGGTATAACGAACTTTTGTATAATTTGTAAATATTAGATTGTTGAATTTTTGAGCGCATATCTTCAAAGTCGAATTTGAAAATTTTGAGTCCTATTGCTTGTTAGTTGACATTCATTTTGTTGTTGTATTTGGAGCTCAAAAAGTGGTTGGAGTATTGATTTTGTAAGATTTGGGTGATAAAAAGCCTATTAGAAAGGGCCCCCAAGGCCTAGCTCAAGTGGCAAAAGGTGGAGGATTTGTGGCTTAGGTCGCAGGTTCAAGCCCCATTATCCACCGAGTTTAGAAGGCTGTGATTGGTCCAAAGGGCGGGGCACAGACGGATTTCTCGGTTATCAAAAAAAAAAAAAAGCCTATTAGAAAGGGCCCCCAAGGCCTAGCTCAAGTGGCAAAAGGTGGAGGATTTGTGGCTTAGGTCGCAGGTTCAAGCCCCATTATCCACCGAGTTGAGAAGGCTGTGATTGGTCCAAAGGGCGGGTCACAGACGGATTTCTCGGTTATCAAAAAAAAAAAAAAAAGCCTATTAGAAAGGTAACCCACCATTGTTAAACAAGTTTGAAGGAATGGAATGAGTTTGAATTTCATTTTTTTTTTTGTGAGAAATTTGGAGTCTTTAGACTCTTTGGCAGTAGTCTAAGGAGGTTGCTACAAAATTTAAAGTCATTTGAGGGAGAGGAGGACCGGTTTTGAACAAAATTTGTAATAAAAAATTGCAGAGGTTCGGCTCTTTAGTTAGATATGTGTTGATACATTTTATACAATGCTATACACATCAAAGGGTGTTATGTTGCTTATATGTGTGTAAACACTGTAGAATAAGTGTAAAAAAATTGATGAAAAATATATGCATGAATTTACTTGGGGTGTCCTTGTATTCTTGGCCTCATTTAAGAAAAGTTGGGTAGATATATACTTTCGTCTGCATTTCTCCCCTCCCTGAAAATTTGGGATCGATTTGAAACAATTCTGAAGCCCAGATGTGTTGCTGAAATTTTGTTATAGTTTAAGTTAGGATGATTATTAGGATTTCTGGCTAAATATTGATGAATCACCAGAATATTTAGCCACAAATGTTAAAAAGATCATAGTGATCCGTTAGAATTTGTGGATTTGAGACATCAAGAGTCTAACACCAATGCTCCGTGTTAGGTGAAATACTATGATAATGAATGATCCAATCAAAGCCCAACTTGCTAAGAGCAAAAAGTCTAACAATGAACTCTTCCCGTAATTTCCATTGGCAGTTCACTTCCCAAATTATCAATTGTCCAAATTTGCGGTGGAATTGACTTCCTATTTTTTTTTTAATAATACACACGAGACCACCTATAAAGTCAAACACAGCTAAGTATCTTTTGTATTTTATTATTAATAATGTAGCAATAATGTTACTTATGCTTTGTGTGTAAAGCTTGTGGTGATGAGTCCAAAGCCTTTATCTATGAGTAAAATGTTGATACATCGTCTAATAAAGTATTGTTAAGTTTTTCTTTAAAGAAAAAATTGGTAAAAATTAGTACGTACCTCTGACTAGTCAATGCTGAATCATAAACGTTTGTAATTGCAATTGGCCAACTTGTTGTCGGAGTCGACTAATAAAACAGAAAACCAAGTCGTTCAACGAAAATAATTCATTGCCAAACTTATTATCTTAGAATCGTTTGATACGTGGGATAAAGATAATTATCACGGGATAAATTTGAAATCTATTTTATTACATATTGTTTGATTTGAGGTATTAGCTAATCACGAGATTATTTTATTCCACAATTTGTACTAAAATAGTGAAATTACTGTCTCATATAGAAGATGAAATAAAATAATTCTCCTGTTTGTTCTGTCCAGCGTATCAAAAGGTTTATTGTATATGATAGAGTAGTCATACTAATTAGCTAGTGTAACACTGAACTTGCTCCATAGATATCTAGTACTCGATATTCCATTGTACACTTAGAGGAAAAAATAATGGGAAGAGAGAAACGAGCTTGTCAAGGTAAACAACACTTCAGCCATCCACACATCTTGAAACCAATTGTGAATCCAACTGAAACTCTCTTTTGCAATGCTTGTGAGCAACCAAACATTACTAGTAATTTCTATGGCTGCAATACCTGCCAATATTTCCTCCACCAAAACTGCCTCAACGCTCCGCGTTTTCTTGATCATTCTTGTCATCCTTCTCACCACTTGACTCTTCTCCCAATTCCGACTTACTCGAATCGTTCTTACACTTGCAAGGCTTGTGCCTCTGCTGGAAATGGTTTTAGTTTTAGCTGTGCATGTTGCGAATTCGATGTCCACATGCACTGTGCTCTTTTGCCCCAAACTGTCTTCCTGTCCCAGCACCATCATCATGATCTTGAGCTCATATTTGAATCCCCTTTTTATGATGATGCCGATGATGAAAGCACCGTTTTTGTTTGTGATCTCTGTCGCGACAATGTAGATCTTAATAACTGGTTGTATTATTGTTCTGATTGTGATTTTGGTACACATCTCGAATGTGCCATTTCCAAATCTGTCAGCCAACAAGAACGTCCGAAACTGTTGGGCAACAAACCAAGAGAAAATCCAGTAGTAATCAGGAAAACAGAGGAGGTACCCATCAAGAACGAAAAAGAAATCAATCAAGAAGAAGAGGCAGAGGAAGAAGAAGAAGTAGAAGAAGAGGAAGCAGAAGCGGAAGACGAAGAAGAGGAGGAAGAAGAAGCAGAAGAAGAGGAAGCAGAAGCTGAAGCGGAAGATGAAGAGGAAGAGAAGGAAGAGGAGGAACTCAATTATCCAAGATCAATTCTTATTGACAAACATCAACATGAGTTGGAGCTCTGCTTTGGTTCTCCGTACGAAGATAAGGATACTCTATTTGCTTGTGATATCTGCAGTATCATAATGGACTCGGACGAATCTTTGTACTATTGCGCTGATTGTGATTTCGTGTTGCACTTGGAATGTGCATCTCCTGATGCTGATGTTTCCCCCACATTACAGCAGCATCGAAATCCAAATTATCCAATTCCAAATCCAAATCGAACAGTGGAGATGATAAATTATGTGACGAATTAAGTTAAAAAAAAATGAAGCATTTTAGCCACCTCATAACTTGGAACTCTCTGAAGTTCAAGAAACAGAGTAGTTAATCTGCTTAGGCTGTGAGGATAAACTGTGACAAATGCACAAAATCCAACTGTGAATTCCCACTTCACAAATCATGCTTCGAATTGCCAAGTTAAATACAACACAATTCCCATCATAATCACCCTCTCACATTGTACCCTACTTTACCCGAACGAGACCGCATGTATTTTGGTTGCAATGCTTGTATTTCAGTCTTTATATCAATAAAATAAATATCATATTTGTTTCGATCACTTGAAGTGAAGTTTTTATCATTCGGCTTAACCATAATTGGCAAGGCAGTATACAAATAATGATGATCACAACAATATTAATGTGAAAAATTAAGTATGCAGCGTTAACTCATTATTAGTTAAAAGGAACTCTCTAAGATATTATCTACCGGAACTATTACTACTACTTTCTATCAGCCTAGTTCTAATTACAACTATCAAATTATAAGAAGCACTTATTGGCCACCCAAAATCCATGGGATTACTTTTCTTGTAAATTGAAAAACAAGTCATAAGTAAATAGATAACTAACCATGAAATTTATTTAGGCTGGACTTTTTAATTATTTAGCTAAATATAATGGAATTTCTGTTAAACTTTTTACGGATTAAAAAAAAGAGAGTTGGAAACACATGCGTGGTATTAAAAAAAAAGTGTTAAAACTAACGATTAGAAATTAAGAAAAATTACCTCAATACACAACTTTTTCACCATATTATCTAAACTTTCCTATCATTTGAAAAAATTACAAAAAATCCTACTCTCTCCTATTCTCGGATACATCACTTTATGCGATGTATCGATGTATCCGGACATTCAGGGTTTATCCGAAACTTAGACGCAATGTATCGATACGTTGAGCGATGTATCAAGAACTAGGACGCAATGCATCAAGACGTTTTGGGATGTATCCGGATTTCACCAAAATTAGGGAATTCTTGTGATTTGAAAAAGAGCAGAAATAAACTGTAATTAGATCTTAACAATTAACACTATGAAATTTGTATAAAATTCTGAAGAAATTACCTTAGAAATTGTTTGTTTTCCAGGCCCATGCATTTTGATGTGATGTGAAGATGAGCTACTATCAGTTAGAAGTTAGTTAATGTTAGTTAGACTGTTAAAAGTGAAAGGGTAGATCAGTCATTTCACAATAATTAGTTGTAACTATCTATCATGAAATTAGTTAGGAAGTTCAGTTACAAATCACACTAAGAGAGTTATAAATCTGTGACTTACTCAATGTAATCTTCTTCTTCTTAATACAAAATATTTGATATGCTCCATTGAGCTCTCATTATTGCTCAGATTGAGCTCTTTCGTTTTACTATCATGGTATCAGAGCTTTACCTTCACAATGCTTACTGTTGAAGACGAGTTGTGCAAAGGATCAAATAATCAATTTCTGATTCATCGATTCATCTATATCGTCTGAATTCATTACATATCTGAGCTTGGAGCTGAATTCCGTGGTGAATAATTATTGATTTTTCTCTGATTTTCCTTCCGCGACAACAATTTATCAAGGATCTAATATGGCAAATGATCAAATAGTTGTGGATCAGTCTTAAACCTTCAACAATGGCCAATGAGCTACTGGTGCCTTACATGACAGTACTGTTTCAGGTAATACTGGAACAGGACAAGGTATTGACTATAATCATACTCTATTTCTCAGTCCTACTGATGTTAGTGGCATTAGCATCATCTCGTTTCAGCTAGTAGGTGTTGAAAACTATACTTTGTGAAATCGATCTATTAGGCTAGCTCTGTTAGGGAGGAATAGAATAGGGCTAATCGATAGATCTTCTAGGAAAGAGGTCTATAGTGAGGAATTATGGGGACAATGAGAAAGAGTGAATGCCATTGTATTATCATGGCTTATGAATTCAGTTTCAAAGAGTTTATTAAGTAGTATAGCATTTGCTACTACTGTTTTTGATGTTTGGATTGATTTAAAAGAGAGGTTTGACAGAGTGAATTGATCTAGATCTTACAGTTTAAACAAAGATATTTCTTCCTTGCAACAAGGTAATATGTCTGTTTCTGTCTATTATAAAAGGCTTAAAAACCTATGGGATGAATTTGAGGCTTTAGTGCCTTCTCCTACTTGTAATTGTGACAGATCCAAAGGCTTTGTGATTTATCTAAACAGGCAGAAGTTGTACCAGTTTTTGATGGAATTAAATGACTCATATCATCAGGCTAGAAGTCAAATTCTTCTCATGGATCCATTACCAACTATTAGCCAGGCTTATGGAATGATAGTGGGGGATGACTGTCAAAAGGCTATGGTTTCTCACACTAACAACACTAGCTAGTAGTATGGGCATGAGTTTCATTAGTGAGGATTCAGTGGCTTTGTACTCCAAGGTTGGTAGTAGTTCTAGGGTAAATCAGAAGTTTAAAAGGAAATCTATGCTAGTATGTGAGTTCTGTAAATTAAAGGACATAGTAAGGAGTTCTGTTACAAGGTGATAGGATATCCTCCTGACTTCAAATCCAAAATAAAGACTCAAGGTATTACTTCTGGTCAGGTAATAACTGATGCTGGTCACTCTAATGCATCAACATCTCAGGCAAATTTCTTATATGGTATGAACACTAATGTTCATATACTAGATAGAGGTACAAAGGGTGAATCATCCACAGCTAACATAAATGCTAATTTAGCTGTCAATAACCCCAATATGACAGTGAGCAAAGCTGAGAAGGATGTTCAACAACTTCGTCAGGGCTGCACTTTCACAAAAGATCAGTATGATCACATACTTCACATGTTTCAGCAAAGACCAGACCCTGCTGCAGCAGCCTGCAATGCTACTCATTCAGCAGGTAATGTGTTTTTTTGTCTCTGAAAATAGTGATGTTTGGATTGTGGACACCGGGCAACTAATCACATGGTGTCTAATTTGGATATGTTGATTAAAAAGTATGTATCAAAACTGGAAGTTCCTAAGACAGTATACCTTCCAAATTGTGATGCCACTCAAGTTACTCATGTTGGATCATGTGCATTATCTACTAGAAGTGCTCTTACAGATGTGTTTCATCTTTCAGAATTCAAATATAACTTGATGTCTGTTAGAAAGATCACAAATGAATTAGGTTGTTCAGTTATTCCCCCCCTCATTTTTGTGTATTCCAGGAGCTTTACAGTGGGAAGGTGAAGGAGGTTGGTAGAGAGGCTGGAGGTTTGTATTTGTTGTTGCATCAGTTAGCTGATAAAAGGAAGGAGTCTGCATTGAAGTCTACATTTGTTGCTACCAATCCAAGCTCAGAGTGTCATGATTCAAATATGGAACTATGGCATAAGAGATTAGGGCTCATCAACATTTCATGCTAGAATATTTGATATGAATAAGCAGAGTTTGTGTAAGATTTCTAAGTGTTTAGTCTGTCCATATGCTAAACAAACAAAAGTAGTTTTTCCTACTAGTAATATCAAAAGTAAATCCTGTTTTGACTTGATACATATTGACCTATGGGGTCCTTACAATACTCCTACTTGTGATAGCAATAAGTACTTCCTTACTGTTGTTGATGACTTTTCCAGAATGATTTGGCTATTCTTACTTAAACTCAAGTCTTATGTTTGTGTTTCATTACAAGTATTCTTATAGTATATCAAGACACAGTTTGGTAAAGTGGTGAAAATAATAAAAACTAATAATGGCACATAGTTTGTCAATTCTGTTTGTGATTAAATGTTCAAAGATATGGGGATTATACATAAAAGAACTTGTTCATATACCCTTCAGCAAAATGGGGTAGCTGAGAGGAAACATAGACACATACTTGAAGTTACTAGGGCTATGAGTTTTCAAGAACAAATACCTTTAAGATATTGGGGACAATGTGTCCTAGCTGCAACTTATGTTATTAACAGACTTTCCAGCAGTGTCATCAACTTTCAAACTCCCTATGAGAGATTGCATGGTACTCCACCTGTATTAAGTCATTTGAGGACACTTGGACGTTTATGCTTTGCCAAAGATCTATCTGTACATGACAAGTTGATGCCAAGATTAAGAATGGTTGTGCATATGGGATATTCACAAGTACAGAAGGGGTATATACTGCTAGATTTGAGCAGCAAATCCTTTTTCACAAGTAGAGATGTGTTGTTTAGAGAAGAAATATTCCCATTTTCTCAAAATTAAAAACAGGTACATCAACCTGTATTTACAGATCATTTGCAAGATACAAGTGTTATTTTTCCTCACTTAGATCTAGCTTCAATACCTCCTTGTGGTCCATCATCAGGTGAAACTTTACAGCAGTGTGATGACCCACAATCTGAGGTTCCACATATGACTATAACTGATGAGGTTGACTGTGCAGAAGGTAGTGATTGTGTGCATGTTGTTGTTGTTGACATAAGTGCACCTGAGGTGGTTCCAAATGCTACTGAGAATGATATTGTACCTACCAGCATGAGGTCTACTAGGATCAGACAAGCTCCACTGTGGTTAAAGGAGTTTGTATCCTTGAAAGGTTACAAGGAAGTGAAGTATCCTATATGTAATTACCTAAGCTATTCTCATTTGTCGCCTAGCTATCAGTGCTATATAGCTGCTACTACACCATGTAAGGAACCTACCAGTTACTTAGAGGCTATCAAGGATCAAAGATGGGTTGATGCTATGAAAAATGAAATTCAGGCCTTGGACAATAACAATACTTGGAAGATTACAGACTTACCACCTGGAAAGAAACCTATTGGGTGTAGGTGGATATACAAAGTCAAGTATAAATCTACTGGTGAAATAGAGAGGTTCAAAGCAAGACTAGTTGCAAAAGGTTACAGCCAACAAGAAGGGATAGACTATAAAGAGACTTTCTCACCTGTGGTTAAAATGGTGACAGTGAGGACCATTGTGTCTTTGACTGCTTCTAGACACTAGCATATCCATCAAATGGATGTGTTTAATGCATTTTGCAAGGAGATTTGGAGGATGAAATCTATATGCAACTACATCAAGGTTTTGTCGGTCAAGGAGAGAAATCATGTAGATTGACAAAGTCTCTATATGGCCTCAAACATGCTCCGAGGTAGTGAAATCATAAACTGACTGAGACTCTTCTTAAATTGAGTTTCAAACAAAGTCAATATGATCATTCTTTGTTCATTAACAAGTCAAAAGAAGGAATCATTATAGTATTGGTTTATGTGGATGATATGCTAGTAACTGGAAGCAGTTTGAAGTTGATAGAGGAGACTAAAAAGGCACTGCAGTTAGCATTCAATATGAAGGATTTAGGGGAGCTAAAATATTTCTTAGGCATTAAGTTTGTCAGATCAGTTGAGGGTATATTAATGCATCAAAGAAAGTACATTCTTAAGCTTATTTTTGAGGTTGACATACCAGCAGCCAGACCTGCAGAACCCTATTGACATCAATGTTAAGCTAACTTCCAAACTGTATAATGATCACCTAAGCAAACATCAAGAAAAGTTGGAGGATCCTCTGGTGGATCAGACCATGTATCAAAAGCTCATAGGCAAACTCTTGTACTTGAATACCAGACCCAGACATATCATTCAGCACCCAAACTCTAAGTCAATTTCTACAGTAACCAAACAAGTCTCACATGGATGCAACACTGAGGGTGATTAAGTATCTAAAGAGACAACCAGGGCAATGCTTATTATTATCAAGTGACTCAGATGAGCTAGTCTCTTCATATTGTGATGCTGATTGGGCCTCATGTTCAATCACTAGAAAATCTGTTACATGATACATGGTCAAGATTGATAAATCACTAGTGTCTTGGAAGGCTAAGAAACAAACGACAGTTTCACGAAGTTCTGCTGAAGCAGAGTATAAAAGTTTAGCTTCTACAGTCTGAGAATTGGTATGGTTACTTGGCATGCTTAAAGAAGTAGGTGTTGAGGTTCAACTGCCAAGTCAGATATATAGTGATAGCAAGGTTGCAATACAAATTGCAGCAAATCCTGTGTATCACGAATGAACAAAACACATTGAGATTGACTGTCACTTCATAAGAGAGAAATTGCAAAAAGGGATTGATCAAGGTGAATTACATTTCAACTAAGGAGCAGCCTGCTGATATCTTAACCAAAGGATTGACCAGATAACAACATGATCATCTTCTATCCAAGCTTGGAGTGTTGAACATATTTTCCCCACCTAGCTTGAAGGGGATTGATGTGATGTGAAGATGAGCTTCTTTATTTTTAACCCTCCCTAGGAGCTCCCACCCCTTTTGCTTCTGTGGTGACTCGAACTCGCAACCTTCGTGTTGGAAGTGAGGGGTGCTTACTATTCGAGCAACTCCCTCTCGTCGTGATGTGAAGATGAGCTACTATCAGTTAGAAGTTAGTTAATGTTAGTTAGGCCGTTAAAAGTGAAAGGGTAGATCAATCATTTCACAATAATTAGTTGTAACTACCTATCATGAAATTAGTTAGGAAGATTAGTTACAAGTCACACTAAGGGGTCGTTTGGTTGGGAACTAGTTATCCCAGGATTAACTATCCTGGGGTTAGTTATCCTGGGATAACTTATCCCACCATGTATATGGGATAACTTATTCCATCACTATGCTATAAATGGTGAGATAAGTTATTCCAAACATGTCAATCAAACAAGACATCTAAAGTTTATCCCAGGACTATTTTTTTTTATCCCAAGACTATTTATGCTTATCCCTCACACCAAACGAGCCCTAAGAGAGTTATAAATATGGTGACTTCCTCAATATAATCTTCTTCTTCTTAATACAAAATATCTGAGATGCTCCATTGAGCTCTCATTGTTGCTCAGATTGAGCTCTTTCGTTTTAAAAAGGTTCGAGGTATTCTTCCTGCTTTGGCCATGATTTTTTTTCACTTTAAAAACACTTTTGGCTATACAATTCTTGAAGTTGAATTTCAGAATTTTCAAGAATTTGAAAAACTTCAAAAAGATATTTTCACTCCAAATTATTCATCAAAAGTGAAAAAAACAACTCCAATTTAAAAAAAAAAATTCATTTTGAAAACAAAAACTAATTTTTTTCAAATTTCACAATAAAACATGACCAAATACCCACCAGTATTCTTAGACCATATATGAAAGTTGCTGAAAAACGTAGCACATAGGGTCCAGTACTTAAGCAACTTACTATGGCAAGTATGGCACAAGTTGATCCAATCAAAGTCCAAAGTCTATGTTCATCTTAGACTTTTTATTTTTATTTTTTAATCATCACTCAATGCCCTTATGAAAGTAATCAAATATATCTAAATCCGTAACACCACAAATTCATAAGTCAACTCATTATCCCATAATTTTTTTCCACAAATGTAAATTCCTTGAACCTCAATATTTGACTTTCATGTCACCAACTTGCCAAGATTTCTGTATTTTACATGCAATTTTATCTCACTTAGATTATACTCAAAACCTTAGCTTATTGTTTACTAACGAAATTCCAAGGAAATGGGAAGAGGAAAACAGACATGTCAAGGTAAACAACACTTCAGTCATCCACACATCTTGAAACCAATTGTCAATCCAACTGAAACTCTTACTTGCAATGCTTGTGAGCAACCAAACATTACTAGTAACTTCTATGTCTGCACTACCTGCCAATATTATCTCCACGAAAACTGCCTCAACGCTCCACGTTTTCTCCATCACGCATCTCATCCATCCCACCACTTAACCCTTCTCCCAGTTCCAACTTACTCGAATCGTTCTTATACTTGCAAGGCTTGTGGCTCTGCTGGCAATGGTTGTAGCTTTAGCTGTGCCTGTTGCGACTTTGATATCCGTATGCAATGTGCCCTTTTGCCCCAAACTGTTGTCCTATCCCAGCAACATCATCATGAACTTGAACTCATTTTTGAATCCCCTTATGATGACGAGGCTGATGAAAGCACTGTTTTTATTTGTGATGTCTATCACGACAATGCGGATCTTAATAACTGGTTATATTATTGTGCTGATTGTGATTTTGGCACACATCTAAAATGTGCCATTTCCAAATCTGTCAGACAACAAGAACCGAAACAGAGGAAAACAGAGAAGGAACCAATCAAGATACATGAAATCAATAAAAAAGAGGAAAACAGAGGTGTGACGAGTAAAGTAAAAAATCTGAAGCATTTTAGCCACTCCCATCCTTTAGAACTCTGTAAAGTTCAACAATCAAATGAAATAATCTGCTCAGGTTGTGAGGATGAACTTTGTGACACTAGTGCTAATTACAAATGCACAAAATCCAATTGCGAATTCAACCTTCATAAATCATGCTTCGAATTACCAAGAAAAATACAACACAATTCCCATCCTAATCACCCTCTCACTTTGTACCCTACTTCACCCGAACGACGACTCTATTTTGGTTGCAATGCTTGTGGTGAAATACCAAACTCCTTTGTCTACGAATGCCTCGAATGCAACTTTAGTCTCCATGCTAAATGTGCTACCTCTTGGCCTGAAACCGCGACTCGTGAGGATCATCAACATTCCCTTACGCTCCAATATCAATGGCCATTTCCTAGTGAAGATTCTGTGTATATATCCTGCAATGTGTGCGACGGACATTGTAATGATAGCTTATGGCTTTATTACTGTGCCGAGTGTAAACTTGGCACACACTTGAAATGTGTGACAGTTAAAAAGGAAGAAGATTCGAGCCTTGAGACTGAAAAAGAACCCGTACACGAAGAGAATATGACTAATGCGGAGAGATTGATGATGGCGTCGATCGAGCTTCAGGAGCATCAGGCAAGGATGAATTTTCGATCTAATATGGCCCATCAAAACGCCCAATTTATGAACAATTTGTTTGGTAACCCTTATCGTTATTACTAAGGGTTTTCTTCTTCGGAATATAAAATAAAAACTATTTTCTTATTATATGGTCTTTCCATAAGAGAAATTGTCTCTAGTTACAAGCTAATTAGCTTTGTTGATTATTTTGGTAGTTGTTGCTTTTCCATTCTATATATATATCTGTGCTATATTGTTGTATTTCAATTTAATATCAATCAATAAATAAAGTCTCTTGTTTGTTTCAATCGCTTGAAGCGAATCTTTAACCATTAGTTAGAATTCAAAGTGTAAATTCACTCTAGTTCTAGAATGTGTTTTGTACTAATTCGTAAGCATTTTTTAGCCAAGTTATTGGTAAACATTATAAGTATTTATAAGATGAAATCAGTTAAAAGTTGGTCATCTCCGATTTATAGTTTTATTTTTTGTAATTTTCATAATACTCTTTTTCAAAACATGGCTTTTAATTATTGAAGTGTGTAACAAACTTAATTCATTAGAAAAAAAATACATTTTTATTTATTTAAATATGTCTTCAACATGCCCTAACATGCAAATCCGATTCTCTTGCATGGTCCTAAAACAAGTGAATTTTTTTTCCCATAACAAGCGAGCATTGCTTTTTGATCTTAGGACTTCCCCTGTTATGATAACCCAATACTCTAATAACTAGCTCGGAAGGTGAGGATGGTTCAAGACTATATAATAAAACAAATTGCTTCCTGCCTACCAATGTGAGGCAATTTGACATTATTTTATTTCCATCTTTTGTCTTTCTTAAAATGTATAAAAGTACTCCTCTTCTAAATTTATATTTTTTGAAAATATTTTTGAGGACATTTCAGTCATTTTAATAAAAAAGGTGTTTATCAACAATTTTTCACTACAAAATTGAATTAATGAGTTAGTTGTTTCTTGTACAATCCTTTTATGCTCCCATAACATAATTATTAATTAAATGCAAATAAAAATAATTAAAGGTTACCTTGTCCACAACAATTGAGGCAAGGACTAAAACTGCAATAGACCTATAACAAAATGATTGAATGTGCAATTTTGCCTGAATAACAGATGAAACAAGACACTGGAGAGTTCATGAGAAAGCCATTTTTGACTTAAAGATCTAGACTACAAGTTTAGTTAGTTGCAATAATTAAAATTTCAAGGTCCAGAAAATTAATTAAAATTAATAAAGGTTAAATGAATTATGAGTCAAAAGTCAGCAGTATGACTATATGAATAATGGGAATATGAAGTTGAAAATATCAAAAAGTCAACTTTATCGTAACATCCATGAACAGAATACACAGTTGACTTCCAAGTTTCTTTAATTTTTTTTGTCCTCCCAAGTTGGCAATTTGGCAAATTGGTGGATCTACCTTATTATTTACTTTTATTATAAATGACCACCTGTAAAGCCGAATAGGGCTAACACGTCTTTTGTATTACTATTACTTTGTACTTGTTGAATAGGCTTTATCGTCTTATTTAAAAGTTTAAATTAATTATATTAGAGCTTGAAGTCTTTGTTTATGAGTAAACTGTCGTAGGATCTAGTTAAGTTTTAGTATAAAATAATTAAGTTGATTTTAAAGAAAAGTTTGGTGAATATTTTTACTTTTTTCGTTTCAATTTGCTTGTATATATAGTTTTTGTTTTTTTTAAAAAAAAGAATGTATTTTTTTATTTTTGGTAATTCTTTAATTCTAAATTTCTACTTGACATGTTTAAGATGACAAAATTAAAGAATATTTTAGTACATTTGACATCTTTAATTAGTTTAAGACCTCAAAATTTAAATATCTTCTTTATTTTCTTAAACTCTATGTTAAGTAAAAATCAGACAAACAAATTTGAGAAATTAACGTCGTCCATGCAACACTTCAAATTAAGAAACAAATTAAAGTAGCTTTGTCCTACTAACAATGCAACAAGAAGTGGTGTTAGAATTATAGTAGGTGTGGTTTGGAACTGGTCTCAAAGAAGCAACACAGACTGATAATACGAAGAAGAAAAATAATACCGAAGCCACCTTAGACGAAGGATGGTCAGGTGCACACCCTTAACACAACTCATATGAAAATTTGCATATCGTTCACCAAATTCCTGGCTTTGCTACCAACTCTATAAGGGTTCTTAAAATAATGATCAAATGAAACTTTTGGAGCAGAGCACAGCCCCTTCCATCTCGGGAATCCTGCTTGTCTGGCTTCCTAGCTCAAGCTAGCATCTATTATCATATTATACTAAAAATGGAAAGCCACAAAATTAAAAATTAAAATACCATTTTACCTTTATCATAATTAAAAATGTTATAAATATCTAATAAATTAAATATTAAGTAATTAAAATATTTTCACAACATTTTCACCTCATAACTTAATTGCAAGCTGAAAAGTTATAAAGTGATCATATTCATCTATAAGTTACAAAGTGACCCGTTACTTATCTAATTGATTATGATATTATGGATAAAGACTATGTCATAAATGCTACTCTTGTAACAGTAAAAACTCAGAGGGCCAAATCAATATATATATATATAGAAACTTATGGTTCAAACAAGTACTTCAAATTTAGGTGAAAAAGGATAAATAAAGACAAAAAGAGACCATTGATTAGTGAAGATGAGAGCATAATGACTCGGCGAATAAACATTTTTCATTAACTTAGTACAAAATTTTAGCATCATCATAAAGTTTTTGTGTATCTATATTGTTGTAAGATAACTGAAAAATCTCAAGAGATCTTGAAATAGTTGAGTTATAACCAATTGTGTATTTATGTTAAAGTAAGCATGGATAAACTAAAAGGACTCTATAACTTAGTTTTTACTCTTTTTGTATGTTTTGATTTTTAGTACATAGCACAAAAAAAGTCATATACTACATTATACCAAATTTATCGATTAAGTTTTTTGGATAAACGTGCAAAAACCATTACTAACATGGAAGGATGCTCTCCATTTTAATAAGTAATTTTAGTCATTCAATAACCTAAATATATTTTTGAATGGCAATTGGCCAAATTGTTGTCAAGGACGATTTAAAAACAAAAGTACAGTAGAAGGAAACACCTTAATTGCCAACTTATTAAGCGTCATATATAGTTAAATTGATCCACTACCAATATATATTATGCTTAAACTCATAATTAATAGCTATAAATATGAATACTATTTGCCACTGTGATCACTGAGCTTGTTTGATTTCTAATTTGGCACCCCTTTATTGATTACTAAAGAAGTTCCAAAGGAAAATGGGAAGAGGGAAACAGACATGTCAAGGTAAACAACACTTCAGTCATCCACACATCTTGAAACCAATTGTCAATCCAACTGAAACTCTCACTTGCAATGTTTGTGAGCAACCAAACATTACCAGTAATTTCTATGGCTGCAATACCTGCCAATATTACCTCCACGAAAACTGCCTTAACGCTCCGCGTTTTCTAGATCATCCTTCTCATTCATCCCACCACGTGACCCTTCTCCCAGTTCCAACTTACTCGAATCGTTCTTTTACTTGCAAGGCTTGTGGCTCTGCTGGCACTGGCTGTAGCTTTAGCTGTGCATGTTGTGACTTCGATATCCATATGCAATGTGCCCTTTTGCCCCAAACTGTTGTCCTTCCCCAGCAACATCATCATGAACTTGAGCTCATTTTTGAATCCCCTTATGATGACGAAGCTGACGAAAACACTGTTTTTGTTTGTGATGTCTGTCACGACAATGCAGATCTTAATAACTGGTTGTATTATTGTGCTGATTGTGATTTTGGCACACATCTCGAATGTGCAATTTCCAAATCCGTCAGACAACAAGAACCTAAGAAACTGCCAGTCAACAAACCAAGAGCAAATCGAGTAATAATCAGGAAAACAGAGGAAGAATCAATCAAGATACAAGAAACCAATCAAAAAGAAGAGGAGGAGGACGAAGAAGAAGATGGAGGTTCGATGAATGAAGTCAAAAAAATGAAGCATTTTAGCCACTCCCATGCCGTGGAACTCTCTGAAGTTCAAGAAACAGAGGAGATACTCTGCTCAGGTTGTGAGGATAAACTTTGTGGCACTGCTTACAAATGCACAAAACGAAATTGTGAATTTACACTCCACATATAGTGCTTCGAGTTACCAAAAAAACTACAACACGATTCCCATCCTAATCACCCTCTCACTTTGTACCCTACTTTACCCGAACGAGACTCCATGTATTTTGGTTGCAATGCTTGTGGTGAAGAACCAAAATCCTTTGTCTACGAATGCCTCAAATGCAACTTTAGTCTCCATGCTAAATGTGCTACATCTTGGCCTGAAACTGTGACTCGTGAGGATCATCAACACTCTCTTGCAATCCAATATCAATGGCCTTTTTCAAGTGACGAATATGTGAATATCTTTTGTGAGGTTTGTTGTGGACTTTGCAATGATAGCAAATGGCTTTATTATTGTGGCGAGTGTAAATTTGGCACGCACCTGAAATGCGCTACAGTTAAAAAGGAAGATGGTTCAAACCTTGAGAACGAAGAAGAAGAAGAAGAAGAGGAGGAGGATTACGAGAATATGAGTGATGAGCAGAAATTGTTGATGCTGACGATCAAAGCTCAAGGTCAACAGGCAAGGCTTAATTTTCAAACTCAAATGGCATATATGAACGCCCAAACTATGGCCAATATGTTCCGTCATCGTTATTATTAAAGGTTTCCTTTTCTTCCTGGGAAAAGAAAATTTAAACTCTTTCCGTACTGGATCACTCTTTCTGTGTTATTTTGTTTGTAATGGTTGTGCTTTGAACACTTGTATGCATCTCAAGTATTCTAGTTATTTCGATTTGTTTTCAGTTAATATGTGTTTGTATTTCAGTTTTTGAATACATCAATAAAATAAATCTCTTGTTTGTTTCTATATACTTTGAAGTGAAATGTTATGTGTAATAATTTTGCTAAACCACAAATATTTTCGAAGGCACTAATACAAACAAATACACAATAAAAGAAATAAACAAAAAATACTAACATTTCCCATATATAAATAAAGCAACAAGGTTGATCTTACAATCTATGTTTCTGCAGTGATAGTCACTGATTGTGAAATTACCAAAATGATATTTATAACATCTTCGGATATTAATTAACAAAAACCTTTTCGATATCATTACATTGTTTTTAACATTTACAAATGATTACACGTTCATTTTTTTGTATGGTATATATACTAAACTACCACCATACATGTTATGGGTATGGGTAGGGGTATGCTATATATGAGCCATTCCCGCTAGCTAGAAGTAGTTGGTGCATGGAATGTGGCAGACTATGTAGTATTACCCGGTCTTCTTCGTGATGTATTTTTCTCAGTTTTGTTAGGTGATCTGCACATTTATTATTTCCGCTCAGATTATGCATTATGGAGATTCCAAAGTTCGAATAGAAGACGTCAACACTCCTCGATCAGGTTGTGATCAGGGTGACTATCGACAATGTTGTTGGGAAAAATACTACAATATTGATATTGGATTGGAATTACAAAGTAGTAAATAGCTTATCACAAACACTGTGTCGTGGCAAGCCACTGCCTTGAAAGCGATTTCGGCCCGACTTTGGTGCAAAAAACCAATTGCCCCAAAAAAATTCTAAGGATAAGAAGAAAGGAGAGAAATGTTTTGTTTTATTTTTTGTTGGGTTTTTTAGCATTCACAAATGCACTACTTATATGGGAAATTTCTATAGGAGTTATTGTAGAGTCAAAGAGTTAATTTTTGATAACACATTGTGAATGTTAATGGCATTAAAGGCCATTACATCACATTCTACAGAAACTCTTGTTTTGTATTGAATGGAAAATTTATTCTCTTTGTAACATATTTTACTTTGTGTTCTTTGCATTACAATAAATGAATAGGTGAGAATTAATATCACAAATGTCTCCCATACTCAGCAGCATCAAGGAATCACTTGAGTCAGTCTCCGATGATGACTTTCTTCAAGTTGTAGTTATTTGTTACGACAAGCCCGTTATATATAAATCACAGTTCTGTTGTGAGGCACGATGTCGTTACCACACCTAGTCACCCAATGAATTCTCCGACCCACCTCCCCTTATCATCTCTTGCAATACCTTTAAACTCAGTCAACTCTGACTTTCGATATGAAACTTCCATCCGTGTTGATTTTAATAGATCCGAACCGAATAAATGACCAACTAATGTACCCAAGAACATCTCTGTATGACTATTGATCGTCGAATACGATGAGCATTAGTAATCAGAAGAATTACTGCTTTAAAAAAAAAGAAGAAAAGAAAAGGAATACTACATTCCAAAGCTCCATTCTTGATATTTCCCTCAATGCATGCATTAACCTCACAATATTTATCTCAGTCTTTATCGACCTAGTTAATTCTAATATATCTATGAAATTCAAAAAGCACTTAATTGCCACCCAAAATCCAGAGGTTATCTAGTCATCTTTGCTTGTACTTATTCCTATCGAGATTTTTTTATTTTTAATAAATGCCCGCTGGTTTGGCAAGCTAGTTGCAATAATCAAAACTTAGAATAAGATGAATTATTAGTCAATAGTCAACGGTATGATAATGAATGATGGGAATATGAACCTGCAAAGAGAAAAAGTCAATAGTGGATTCTTTTGTAACATCTATGAATGATACAGTTGACTTCTCAAGTTTCTTTTTTCGTCCTCGCTAGCTTTGAAAAATGCAACGATGCTCCCCATTTTAATTAGTACGTAGCTGTGTCAATGTGCTAATTAAACTTTTTTTTTAATAACAATTGGCCAAATTGTTGTCCCAGACAACTTACAATATTGAAGAGATCAAGAAAAATGAATGCCACTTAGTTGTTGAATGCATTGCCAACTTATTACTACTCCTCTGTCCCTAATTATTTGTCCACTTTTGAAGTGATACACTTATTAAGAAAACAATAATTGATATAGTGAGTTTATCATTTTATTCTTATTAGTTATGAAGGGGATGAATTAAAAATTTATGATTTTAAAAAAGTTCTACATTTTTCAAAGTAATAAATTGAGGGTATAATAGAGAAAAAAAGTTTGTCCTTTCTTGATTTGTCAAAATGGACAAGTAATTAGGAACAACTAAAAAAGAAAAAATGGACAAGTAATTAGGGACAGAGTAGAGTGAGTACTAATTAAATAGGGTAGCTATAAATACTAATACCAATTAGCTATAGTTTGGTCATTGAACTTGCTAGATCTCTAATATATTCATGTCCAGTTGTTGATAAGTGCATCAACAATTGAAAGTTACGAGAAAAAATGGGAAGGGAGAAACGGATATGTCAAGGTAAACAACACTTCAGCCATCCCCACTTCTTGAAACTAATTGTCAATCCATCTGAAACACTCACTTGTAATGCTTGTGAGCAACCAAATATTACTAATACTACTTTCTATGGCTGCAATACCTGCCAATATTTCCTCCATGAAAACTGCCTCAATGCTCCGCGTTTTCTCGATCATTCATCTCATCCTTCCCACCACTTGACCCTTCTCCCAACTCCAACTTACTCGAATCGTTCCTATACTTGCAAGGCTTGTGGCTCTGCTGGCAATGGCTGTAGCTTTAGCTGTGCCTGTTGCGAATTTGATGTCCACATGCACTGTGCCCTTTTACCCCAAACTGTTGTCCTTCCCCAGCACCATCATCATGAACTTGAGCTCATATTTGAATCCCCTTTATATGATGATGCTGATGATGGAAGCAACGTTTTTGTCTGTGATATCTGTCGTGACAATGTAGATCTTAATAACTGGTTGTATTATTGTGCTGATTGTGATTTTGGTACACATCTCGAATGTGCCATTTCCAAATCTTTCAGCCAAAAAGAACGTCCGAAACTGTTGGGCAACAAACCAAGAGAAAATCCAGTAGTAATCAGGAAAACAGTACCCATCAAGAACGAAAAAGAAATCAATCAAGATGAAGAGGCAGAGGAAGAAGAAGAAGAAGCAGAAGCGGAAGACGAAGAAGAGGAGGAAGAAGAAGCAGAAGCAGAAGCGGAAGACGAAGAAGAAGCAGAAGAGGAAGAGAAGGAGGAGGAGGAACTCAATTATCCAAGATCAATTCTTATTGACAAACATCAACATGAGTTGGAGCTCTGCTTTGGTTCTCCTTACGAAGATAAGGATACCCTATTTGCTTGTGATATCTGCAATATCATAATGGACTCGGACGAATCCTTGTACTATTGTGCTGATTGTGATTTCGGGTCGCACTTGCACTGTGCATCTCCTGATGCTGATGTTCTTCCGTCATCACATCAACGTCGAAATCCAAACCCAAAATATCAAATTCCAAATGTAAATTCATCAGTGGAGATGATAAATTCAGTTAGTGATGCTCATGAGCGGCTTATAGCAGCTCAAATTGAATCTCAGATTGCAAGACGAGGAAGACAGGCTATACTGGATTCGATAGACGGGCCATCACCAAGACGCTATTACTACTAGCTAATTGCTATCCACCTTTTCAATTCATGTTAATTTTCCGCAAATCAAATGTTTTGCAACTGTTATGTTATTTCCTTTTGGAGCACAATTAGTTCTATTTCAACTCTTGTATTTCTGTTTTATTTTCAGTTTCCCATACCCACATTGGAGCGCTGCATAGTGCCCAATTTGAGGAGGGGGGGCGCTCTTGAATTTGAGACATCTGATTGAGAGAGAATCAACGCTATCCACTGCACCACATCCGGGTGACTTGTATTTTTATGGTTCATGTTGATGCACATTTTTCTCCATCTTCTTTACAGTTTCTATGTTTATCTATTCACAATTGTTGATAATTGATATTGTTGGGTGGAATTTACATTTATACTAACATAACAGAAATTCTTAAAATGCACATAAAAAATAATGGAAGAATATCTTGTGCACAAAAATTAAGACTAGAACTAAAAATGCACTAGCCCTATAATACAAGGGTGAAACGTGCAATTTTGCTTAAATGTATAGATGAAACCAGGAAAAGCTAAATGCATAAAGGAGATTTAATTCGATGGGCAGAAAAAAGGAAATTGGTATTTTTTTTCCCATTAGTTTGTAATGTGTACATAAGAAATAATGAATTCAAATGTCTGCTCCTATGACAAGTTAGTTTTCAATGCTGCAGTAACAAAAAATTCAACGTCCAAAATATTGATGCATATTTCAACACGTCTAAATTAAAAATGCCAACTAATGGATAAGAGCAAATTGAAAGTCATTCGTAACCGCAACAACTTCCATGAACCTAAGAAAGTTGAATTCCTATGTTATTAACTTATCCCTTGCTATTGCTATCATCGTTAAGTAGCTATAAATACTGATGAGAATATATTTCACGGTAAATTAGTTAGTTAGAGTTAGTTGCTACAGTAGAGTTAGTTACAGTCTTGAAGTTAGTTAGAGATTCTTTCTTATTATTTTTCCTCTCTTACTTTGTATATATACTTCATCTTGTAAATGATTTAGTCATTCATTCAGTTCAATACAAAAAGTGCAATGTACACAATTCTTCTCCCCACAAACAGTTGATTGGTCAACCCTCTATTAATGGAGGAAAGTAGTCTCGAGCAGAGCTTATGCTCTTAGTTTTGTCATGGTATCAGAGCGAGGAGGTTGTTCCTGATTGATTTCCGAATTAGAATTGTCTTCGTGAGTATCAAGCTTCATCATTCTATCCCATTCGTTTCCAGTCGAGTTCATCCCTGTGGATTTGTGTATTCGACTATTTTTTTTTCTGATTGAAATCCCAATTGTTCGATCTTTGTTTTTCGATTTTCAATTGCGTAATCATTTTACTCTTCCTGCTAAGCCTAATTTTCCGCATTCATGGTTGATATTCAAGTTGATCCAACATTAAATAATTCTAGTTCTACACTGCCAGCTAGAATGGACATCACAAGTCCTTTCTATTTACATCCATCAGAAAGTGCAGGTTCCACTCTATTACCTGCAATTTTCGATGGATCTGGTTACAGATCCATGGAGACGTGCTGTTCTTCGAGCATTATCAGTTAAAAGCAAAATTGGATTCATTAGTGGCAAAGTTGTGTGACCTGATACAGATGATCCAACATTTGCACAGTGGGAGAAGTGTGATGATATGGTGACTAGCTGGATCCTCAATTATCTTTCCCCAGATCTGCATGATAGCTTACAATACATCAACAATGCTAAGGAGCTTTGGGATGAATTGGAAGATAGGTATGATCAAACGAATGGCTGCAAATTGTACCAACTCCAAAAAGAGATCAATGATCTTGTGCAGGGGAATTTAGACATCACTGGATATTACACAAAAATGTAGAAGCTATGGGAAGAGATGAGTACTATTGACGTTGCTTCACAGTGCACATGTGTGTGCAACTGTGGTGGAAAAACCAGAATGCATAAAGCCGAACAAGACAGACGTCTCATACATTTTCTAATGGGGTTGAATGAGCTCTATACTGCTATAAGGGGCAATATCCTAATGATGAGTGTTCTGCCCAGCATGGCCCAGGCTTTTGCCATATTGTCACAGGAAGAGAGACAGAAGGAGGTGAAACCTCACCAATAATATAGCATTAGAATCGACCTCACTTAGTGCCTCAACTACTCACAACAATACTGGTCCCAAAGGTTTCAAAACCAACTACAATTCCTACAGAGGAAGTGCAAGTAACTCCAACACATCCAACACCAGCAACATGTTCAGAGGTAGCTCTAATACTGGCAATAGGTCTAACCTGTTCTGTGAATTTTGCAAGCGATCTGGACACACTAAAGACATATGTTACAAGCATCATGGATATCCATCAGGGCAAAGGTTTCCCAAGGGAAGAGGATCAGGTTCTGCAGCAAATGTGCACACTTCTGAGGAAGAGAAGAAACACTGTGAGGATACTTCTGATATGAACAGGCAAATGCTAGTGAATTTGTCCAAAAACCAATATGAACAACTACTTAATCTCCTGGGAACATTGCAAGCTGGACATGAAACTGATAATCCAGGGAGCATGCTGAATAGTGCTGTGAATCTGGCAGGTATAATTTCTTGTTACTCTTCAATTAATGAAATATGTGATCTATCATGTAGGTGTGCTAAACTAACTGTTGGCTCTTGGATCATAGACTCAGGAGCATCACATCACATGACTTATAATAAGACCACCCTCAAAAACATCCAAACACTACCTTATCCCTTCCTAATCACACTACCTAATGGTTACAAGGTTAAAGTAACTGAGATTGGAGATGTGTGTTTGAATTCAGTGTTAACTCTATACAAAGTGTTGTTTGTACCTAGTTTCAAGTTCAATTTAATATCAGTTCATTGCTTGGCCTCACAACTCAAAAGGCATGGTCAGTTTTAACGATTCCTCTTATTTGTTGCAGGGCCCTTCTCTGAAGAGCCCTCTGGAACTTGGTAGAGCCAAGAATGGCTTATATTTTCTGTCTCTCAAATGCCGTAATTGTTTCCCACCTTCTGATGGCAACACAATATCTGATGTTACTACCTGCTTCTCTAATAGTCAGCCTATTTTCTCTCTTGTTAATTGTGAACATTTAGTTGGTGTTGTTACGCCGTAATTTTCCTATTTTTAGAAAAATCACTTTTTGAAATGTTCAAAGTATAAAACAATTTGAGAAAAATACTTATAAAAGAGTTGCCACTTAATTTTTTAAAGAAATTAAGAAAACTTAATTTAAAAAGACTTTAACAGATGAAGTCTTTAAAAATTTAGAGAAAATGGGTAAGAGGTTCTTATTTACGCTTCAAGAAGGTTTTTAAGGCATTTGAAGCGCCCGCTAACACGCGATTATCCTATGACTTGACTAAAAATATTTTTTGACTAATTTTGAAAAGAAATGAACAACTAAAGAAGGATTATTTTACTTTATTTTGTTTATTTTCTTTTATTTTTATTTCGTTTATATATATTGTAATATTTCTTTTGTTTTAAGAAAGATCATTTGAAATGAAAAGAATTAAGTGATCAAAATAATTTAGTAAATATTGTGAAAACAAGGATTAAAACATTTGAAATAATCTAAGAAAGAAGTGATTTTAAACAATGAGACTAAGTAGACAAGTAATTAACAAATCGCTTAAAAAAGGTTTAAAAATGTTACTCGTTAGGGTATTTAATTAAATTAAAACCAAAACAAATAAAGCTAGAGTTAATAAAAAAAAACAAACAATAAATAATCACAATTAAATAATTTGGGAGAGTAAAGGAGGAGATGAATTTGGGCCCTTTTTGGGCCAAATTCGTTGCTGCTTTAAGGGTTTAACCCAATTCCCATTTTTGTATACACCTGATGTATATCAGTGTATATCAGCGTGTATATCGGCCCCTTTCATGTATTTCTTGCTTTCGAACACCTGTGTTTCACCTCCGCCCTGTGTTTTTGCATTGTTGACCTGTATATCGATGTATACAACTGTATACATCTTGTATACAACCCCTTTTGGGTTTTCCGGAGATTGTAATTCAACTTCCTTACTTCTTCAGACGGAATGACTCGGAGAAGAGATGTATTGGGCTAAGGAGCCTAACATGATGCCATGAGAGACTTGAGGAGTCCATAAATGAACTCAACATGGCATGTATACAAAGGAAAAGAGTAGCATTAGTATCAAGTAACAACTTAAATTCATGAAAATGCAGTAACTAGGAATATTTGGTAACTTTGTAGAAACATAGTCTTAAGTAACAAAAAGTAATGCTTAAATCATAAACATGATAATCAAAGGATCATTTTAGGACAATACACAAAAGGAAACCCATGAAGGACTAAGACTTGTTGGATCTCACTTAAAGAACAAAATATAGTAACACATTAGAGGGGAAATCATAATATGACAATCTCAAGGAGGGCACCAAAATCCTAGAATTAAGACATTTTCCAAAAAAAAACAAAAGAAGATAGTGACATAGGCTTGACCATATCATGCCACAATTACTAAATATATTTACTAAAAAAAAAGGTATATCATAATATTTTTCACTCCTCGTTGGTTAACTTTTATCATTAGATCCATTATTTATTAGAGTTGAACAACATCAGGCAGTGATCAAAATGACAAAGAATAACAAAGAATTATATTTAACCTCGTTAGGACTAAAACTTAAGCCAAGAAAGGGAAGCAAAAGAAACTTAGATTAATCAGTTTGTTAACCCATTTTTTGCATTAAATGACAAGGTTTTAACACCGATTTTAACAATAAGAACTAGTGTACTAGTTTGATATTTAATCCAAGCAAACAAGGGTCGATGAAAAGGGCCAGAATTCAACAACTACAATATCTCGAGGTGAACTCAAAACACACAGCATGGCAACAAAATGAGATAATATTTTCGAAAACAACATATTATCTCGGAAGTAAATTAAGATTAGAAGAGAATTTTACCTTTTTGAGGCAGCGAGACTAGGACAACGAGCTTGACCGTGAAGCTTTTACACCACTACGACCTTAACTTGAGCTAGAAGAGAATCGATACAAAAAAAAATAGCTCTCGATTTTTCGTCCTCTCGATTTAAAAATAAACTTCTACTTTTTAGAACGAAGAATCTCTTGTCTCCAACTTCTCCCCTCTCCACTCTTAAGACTTCCCTTGCTGAATTTCCCCCCCTCCCTCATAGTGGAAGAGCAGGGGAGATTTATAGGCTGAAATTGGGATTGAAAGAGGGAGAAACCGATGGATTTTGCGAATTTGAAATTCAAATTCATATGTGTTTTTTTTCTCTCGAAGCGACTGTGGAAGGGATGGGAAATCC